CGTCCGTGGGCCGAGGGGGGGAGGGGGGAGGAGTTGTGGGAAACTCTGCTGGTGGGGTCCTTGCTCCCGTGATGGCCTTGGGGGCTTCCTCTTTCCAAAACGTGGGCAGTGATGCTCCTCAGGGTGCTGGACCAGAAAAAGGGGTTGATCTGGGGAGACCAGGTTCAAGATCTCATTCAAGGTTCTGTCTCAGCCCAAACAACCTGACAAGGTTGTTGTTGAGGGTATAAAATGAGAGTCACCTTCCCGACATCCATCATCTTGAGTTTCCAGAGGAACCCCCCGTGTTTACCATAAACAATGCATAATTAGGGGAGGACATTACTGGGGATGGATTATTAGATGATTTTTTTTAAAAAAAAGTCCAAGGAATCAGCGGGTGGACGGAGTGGGGTGGCCGGCGGTTCTCACCTGTCCCCTCTCTCAGCTCCAGCACCTGGTGGCCCTCAATCCACTGGTAGCAGGGAAAGTGAAAGGTCTTGTTATCTGGGGTGGTCAGCTGGACAAAGTCACAGAACCAGGCGTCCTCTGGAAAAAACTGGTAGGGCTCCTTATGGAGCCGGACAAACAGGAGGGGGCCCAGATCACGATCGCTCAAGACTTCATAGTTGTCCACCTAATGGAAGAAAAGAACCTGTTGCTGTCAGGAAGCTCGACCGGTGGGACAGCAGCCTGTCAAGCACCCCCTAAGCAGCCAAGGCCCAAAGGAGGGAAAACATGGTGGAGCGGAGGCTGGTGCTGTGAAGGAGTTCAGGGGATGGGTGTGTAGACGTGAAGGTGTCTTGCCTTTCCAATCATCGACTGTAAGGGTTGAAAGGAACCTTGGAGATCACCTAGTCCAGGGTTCCTCAACCTCGGCAACTTTAAGATGAGTGGACTTCCACTCCCAGAATTCCCCAGCCAGCATGTCCTAAAATGCAGCGCTCAGAACTGGATGTGGCATTCGAGGCGCCATCTGACCAGTGCAGAATGAAGAGGAGCTGTGACTTTTTTTAATACTGACGCTGTATTTCTACTGCCGCCACCTAGGATGGCATTTGTTTCGTTTGCAGCGGCATCACACAACGGGCTCAGGGTCCGCTTTGGAGTCCCCGAGAACCCGATCCTTTTCACGTGTCCAACTGCCCGGGATATTCCCCCTTTCATTCTTCCCGCACCCAAAATGTCAGACTTTCCATTTGTCTGTCCTGAAAAAGATCTTGGTGTTTTCTGCTCATTCTTCTGGCTCGCTAAAAAATCCTTCCATATCCTGGGCTCTAACGTGCTTGTTATCCCTCCATCCTTCTGACCTTTGCAGATCTAATAACCACGTTTGGTCACCCTTCCCACTCCATTTAGAGATATGTTGAACAGCCAGGACCTAGTGAAGCCGTGGGCTGCTCCGTGTGTCCCTGATGTGGCGGGACCCCTGATATCTGCTCACTGGGCAGGCTTGCTCAACCAGGCTGGGAAAAGTCGGGCTCCGGGACGGCCTTCTGCAACCTGACGCCCCAGGCAGCTGGAGCCTGCTGGATTTTGCTGCCCTGGGTGATGTCCCAGGAGGAGGCAACGAAGCTCCGCACGCCGGCCAGCGCAAGGACGCCCCCCGCCCCCCGTCCTGATCGGGCGGCCCCCCTCTCACCGTTCCGGGGGCGAAGTCCCTCCCGGTGTTGTCCAAGAGCTGCTTGGGGCTCTCCCCTTTCAAGCCCACCAGGGTGATGGAGACGGAGTCGAACGTTCCCGAGCCCCAAAACTTCCCGGTGGCCACTCGGACTCTGTACACCCACGGTGGCGTTTCTCCCCGGCCGGACTGAGCTCGCCAACTTCTCCAGAAACTCTCCTTTTGATGCTTCGGAGGCGAAAGGTGAGACCAGAGAGAGAGCGTCATTGCAAAAGTAGAAACCTATCGAACTAGAATCCAAGAGCCTAATTTTCCCCAGAAACTTGGCCTCGGGGATGCCTGTCAACGCTGATCCGTATCTTGCAAGCTTGCAAGTGGTCGTGCTCACCAATAAGACTGTGGTCTCACGTGGAGCATTGTCCGTGGAGAACTTGTTTATTGCAGCAAACAGTGACTAGGATTCCCCCTGGGACACGCTCTCATTTTTAGCCAAAGGTATAAGGTTTACCTCAGGTGCCATTCTAACAACTCTTTTTTCTTTTTTTACTTCTGTAAATTATTTCCATTCCAGCTGGTCATTTTAAGAACATTATCATTTGAAGAACTGGTCCCTGGAGCGCCTGTTTTTCCTCCTCCCTCCTCATCTTTCTTTCCTTTTGTGGTGTTGCTCCAGAGAGGAGACAGGAGGCCTTTATCAGCAGTATTATCTTCTGACAAAGAATCCTGGGGGGCTTTTCAGATGACAGAGTAAAACGTTTTAAGCAAATAAAAAGAAAACCTTCCAGTCACATTGCCCACAAAGGACAGTTGAGACTGAAATCCCTGACAGTTCTGCAGGGGCAGCAAAGCGTTAACAGGGCTGGGTGGTCTCCGGGCAGAGCCTGTAGCCTGGGAGAGGGCGGCTTTTCTGTAACCCAAGTCTCGCCCACTTCTGCCTGACTATTTGGCAGCGGACTGGAAACTCCTGGCTCCCTTCCAGTCCCCAGAAGAACCGGCAGCCCAGGCAGGCAGAAGCGGGCCTCCCCGGGGCTCTGCCTTCTTCTCCCTCCGGCAACCAGGAGAAGCCAACAAGACTTCGACAGGAAATGGCGCACATCAGAATATCAGCAGGCAAATAATGCAAATTAGGGGGTTGCCCCATTTCTGGGATGACACCATCTCCCAAAGCGTACAAGCTCCATGTTATTGACCAACGTTTCTTCCTGGAGGTGCTACAAACCGCATCTCCTGCCCGCAAAGGCCGGTTCCTGACTCATAAAACCAGCCATAACTGCCATCGATTTCAAGAGGAGAATTTCAGCAATACCTTCCAGAATGCAAATATAGATAGTCCTCGACTTACAACCACAATAGGGCTCAGCTAATTTGTCATTAAGCAGTACAGTCATTAAGCGAGGCATTACATGACCCCACCCAAATTTATGACATTTTTGCTATGGTTGTTAAGCGAATCATGTGGTTCCCCATTGACTTTGCCTGTTGGAAGCCAGCTGGGAAGGTGGCAAATGGTGATCCTGTGACACCGGGATGCTGCGACTATTGTAAATGCATGTTGGCTGCCCAGTGCCCGAATTCTGATTACATGACCGCAGGGACACTGCGATGATCATAAGTGTGAGGACTGGTCGTAAGTAACTTTTTTCAACGTCGTTGTAACTTCAAATGGTTGCTGAACGAATGGCTGTAAGTCAAGGACTACCCATGCCCTCTTGTAAGAAAAACAGATAAAGTTACCTGCAGTTCTTCCTGCAGACAAGTAGCTTTCCTCAACAGTGTGAAGCCACATCCTCGAGTCCCCTGGAATCTGGCAGGGACCTTACAGCCCTCCAGCATCACCCGGTTCAAATCAGGGCCCCCGAAGGGAATCGACTTCCTCCTATGGTCACCACTGTAGGCTGCAGGAACAGGACATTTTTAAAACGGCCCTGGGTCACCTGCCGACCCTTTCCTGACTCGGAAAACAACGCGCTGACTCACTGCAGTGGGAAAAGGCCCCCCTTTTGAACGTTCCCCCATTCTTTGGCTGGAAAACCAGGAAGCCAAAAACCTTGACCCACAGCTGCAACTGGCACGTTAGCTTTGCCCGTTTCCGGCCAGGAACTCCTCTGCCCATCCCGCTGAGCCCTTGCAAGGAGCAATTCTTATCATCCCCTCCTATTCCTCAGCCAAGGGCCTTTCGTAATATTTATTCACAAGGTTTGTTTGCTCAGGAAAGGAGAACGGGATAGGAAAAGGTGTTTCCACAACTGCATCCGGCCGCCTCGATCGTTTTTAAAAATGAAAAAGAAAAACTCTAATCAAGCACAATTAACAACAGCAGGCCGGTCACCGCTGAAAATAAGGTCCGCCTCGTTTGAGTTCCAGAACCTCAAATCCCACTGAATTTAATAAGACCGTGCCACAAATTCCAAAAAGCTATCAAAACTAGTTGGCACATCGCTGCTTCGGCAAATTCCTCCACCCACTTCTTGGAAACAAGCCCATGGTTTTGGATGTAAACTATTCGGCATTTCATATTTCAACCTCTGTTTATTTTAAACAAAAATAAACCGGCGATTTTTTAGCAACGCTTTGCAAAATGACCTTCCCAAATGATCAATAATGAAGGCAAACTCAAAGGTTACCCTTTTTTTTTTTTACAGGATGGCACATAATGTCCACACGATTCGGCCCCAGAACATCTCATCAACCCCGTAAAATTTCCACGACTCTAGCAGCTGAATCTACAAAGAGAAAATATTCTGCCACAGAGTCACTTTAAATCCAACTGAAACTGAGCTGTGTTGGTTGAGGCCGGTGACCACTTTAACTCCAGGCCAATAAGACGTCTCAAACCATATTTTTTTTTAAAAAAAAAAAATCGGCTTCTGGAAAAGTTCAGCCACAGGACAGGAGCCCATTAATCCATCTGAACAGCCAGCATTTGGCTTGTTTAAACTGCTGAAATCATTACTGAAAGAACATCAGGGAGAACACTTATGTTTGTGTTCTCAAACACAACTCTTGTGTTTGAGTGGTGACTATGAGACAGAACAGCCTGGAGAGATTCCAAGCTGGTGTTTCACAAGTTGGCCACTTTAAGACGATTTTGGGCTTTAACCCCCCACCATCTCCCACCG